AGCCTGGACTTCTACATCACAGTCCATCAGCAAAGGAAGTCAGGACGGGAACTCAAGCAGGGCAGGAACCTGGAGGCAGGAGCTGATGCAGAGGCTTGCTTCTGGCTGGCTCCTCGTGATATTTGCAGACGCCAGGACCAGCTTCTCAGGGATGGCACCACTCACAATAGGCATCAATCACTCCAGCATCAACCAATCAAGAAACGCACTACACCCTTGCCTCCAGCCCTGTCTTATGGAGGCACTTTTCTCAACTGAGAGTCCTTCTTCCTAGGTGACTCCAGCCTGTGTCAAGAAACTCAGTGTAACTAGACAGCAAGCTGCCATTAAGTATAGAACTGCAGGGGAAGTGTTAAACTTTTCTAATCTAATCTATGCAGCCACCACCACCCTACACAGTACAATTATGTTCTTTCAAATTTATCCTGAACTTAAACTTCATGGCCTTCAATAATCCGTGTACTGTCCAAATCTTCCCACCACAAAGTCTGTAAAGCTTACTGTTCTCCGTGTCATAAGACTATCCGTTCTGTGAAATCTGTGACACAATTTGCACCTGTAAGAAAAGGTTAACATATCTCTGTAGTAACACAGAGACACCAAGCCGAGTGGCTGCTTTGTGTTGTGAGACAGAGTATCAGGATATAATGAACCCTACGCCTTGAAGTCCACACTATAAAGAATGACACAATATTTCAGGAAGCTGGGCCTAGAAAACCAGCCCTTCATATACGCTTCAAAAGCATGTGTGAGTTCACTGCACACATGTAGGCATAACAACCACAGCGCACACTGGCTGAGAGCCCTAATCCAAAATCTTCTAACTAAAACTTTTGAGCACCGACATGATGTCAAGGAGAAAGTTCCACCTGTTCCATGCAACTACTACCTGTAAAAATGAGTTCGTGAAATACTAAAAGTATAAATAAAATATAATTTAATTATATATTTAAGCATGGGTCTACTCCTATTTCTTTAGGCATGTTATAAATATTACAACATCCAGAAGAACCCAAAGTCCCACAGTCCTCTGCTCCTAAGAATTTTGTATAAAGGATCCTTCACCTGTACAGGGCATTTATGACACAATATACTATATAACCCCCAATGGAATCCTATTAGGCTACTAAGCTTGAAAATAAGTTCAAATTTGAAATTCATGATAATGTTACTTAACAATTGCCTAGTAAAATGTCAAATTCTACACTTGATCAATAACTCAGAAATTAGTAGTATACATTATGTCCAAAAATAAAATTAGAACAAAAATATACACCAAAAAAATCATTAATTTTATTACCTACACACCCTGGGGTGATCCACCAGCTTTCTCAATCTGTGTAAAAGTGGAGTAGCTAAAATTAACTATAAGGGTTAAAAAGGGCACAGCAACTGTTAAGAAAACAATATACAATTAAGAAAGTAAAACAATGGCAAGAAAAGTAATACAACTACCAAACCAAGGCACTAGCCTTGTTACTCTGGTAGCTGTTTTCCACTTAAAAGCTCACTCTTTAATTTCAGTGTTAAGATTAAGTTTAGGTTAGGTGTCTTATAGTTGGTATTGTGCTAAGTAAGGATGCTCAAGAGCAAAGCCCCAGCTGTCTTTTTAAAAACATAAAACCTGAACTAACAGGGAGTCACGTAATCGTATGGTATATCATGTACTCAATGTGTTTCAAATGTATGTGTGCATCAGTGTGTTCATGCATGCTAAGGTAGGTATGTAATCTGCAGGATCCCAAACTATGTCATCCTCTAAGATGCTGTACATTGCTTCATGACAATTCCTTCTCATCCTGTGAATTCAACATTTATTTGATGGGAAAAGGCACAGGGTTTCAAAGTGAAAATAGAAGTCATACACACTGACTGATTAAAGAACACGTCTTTATATATGAGCAACCCCCAATGCTATGTACATGTGGAGTAAAAACATTAAATAAATCAACATTGTAAGGCCTTAACTCTGATTCTGAAAAGGACAGTTAATAACATCTTGTATATTCATACACTTTTCCATGAAAAGAAAAAGATCATCTCAGATTAAACAACCAGATAAAAAATTATTAGTGACTTTTATAACTCAGAAAATAATTGAACATAACACCTTAAAAGTATTTCTGTAGAATTATCATTTAATTTCTTCAAGTATGAAATACCTGCTATTTTCTGGACCTGCCAATTGAGGGAAAACTATACTGTTAAGTTCTACACAACAATAATAACTTCAAGCCAAGTTTCTCAGGCAAAGCAGCTCTCCTATTTAGCCCTGTCCACCTCAGGTACTCATTGCACAGAGAAGGTCCCATGAATATTATTGTTGAAATCAACTGAATTGTCAGCAAATACGTCTAACAAGTTAAGCTGGGAACATCCATGTTAGTATTCAGGGGCTCTTGAGCAAAGACTAGACAAAAAGCTTCCTAATACTGAAGTAATAAATGGTAAGAGCTATGAAAATCAAGAGCATCTTCTATTGAAAAGCATAAATGCTAAATTATAAATGACCTGAAACCCTGCTACACCAAACACCCATTTTAATATTAATATTCTCTGATTCATCATTCTTCCTTTCTTTCTGTCTCTCTCTGTCTCTCTCTGTCTCTGTCTCTCTTTCTCTCTCATCATCCTTCCTCACAGTTAATGTCTTCATAAAGTGTAAGAGAAAACATGAAACAAAGGACAAAAGGCCCCTCCCACTTCCTTACCTCTAAGCTGCCCTCCTGCTGTCACACAGCACAGAGTCTCAGAATCTTCTTTCTGCCTGGGCAAATAACATATCCCAAAATAGATATAGAAGATATCTATCTACCTGTGCTTCATTTATTATCTGAATAACAGATAGGTGACCAGTGTATGATTGATACAGATAGGTGGAAGGATTACAGATGATGATAAAAATACAGATAATAGATGGGTTATTGATATTTAGTAAATCGATGATAGAATAATCGATGATGTCTAGACCCATGACCTAGCATATTTTACTTATAAAATTCTGGATATACATAATACTAAAATTCACATTTTAAAATCTCTCATCTTGCCATTAAAAAAAAAAAATGGCAATCCCAGGAAAACTTTTCAAACTTTTCTTTTGGTGAAAACCGATAAAATGAGCACAACAAAGGAATTCGCCTTAGACAGTGCCAGTGGGCCTGGTGCTGTTCTCCTGGAGCATTCCTCCAGCTCTCCCCAAGCCTTAGCTCAGATCTAAGTAGCTCCTCACTGTTTTCCAGTTTTCTTTCTGCCATAACACATTTGCCATTCTCATACGTGCTCCACACAGGCAGCATGGACTTCAGACACGGCTGGCACGGCTCTCTCTTTTGAGAAGATTACTGAGTGTTTTACCTGTAAATTCGTAATCTACTGGAGGCTTCGCCTGAGTGGACTTTCCCTATATGTCCTCCTGAGGATGCTCCAGCCTGCTGCATCCAGTGCGCGCTCTCGCCTACACCTCTCCGTGGCTCCTGAGAACACTCAACAGGTAGCAACACCCTGAGTCCACCGAAATTCACCCTCTAGCCAAGACCCTAACCCAAACCTCCTGGACCATGCTTCTTCTTCAAAACAAAGTTTGTCCGTATGAACCTAACCCAACTGGGATATTCTATCACTATGTCATCCTCTTCAGAATTTACTGTTAAATGTTTACAGAATCCAATGGGCTTTGTGAAAATTTTCCCTCCATGTGTTGTGTAAGCCTGTGTGCCAGTGCTCTTTAATTAGCTAATCCATATCATAACAGAAATAAAGGCTATATAGTGAGACAGTCAGTGCTTAGAATCTTGTTTATTCACAGCCTAGATGAAGAGAGGGGACTGGACGCAGTACCATCGTTAGACTTCAAGGAACAGTCCAATTACAAAACACAAACTATCACTCCCTTTAATTAAGAAAACTTGAGGCACTCGCTGTTACTTGGGTCTGGCCTCTAGAATTTTCACTTCCTGCTCCCAGAAGCTCTTCCCCAGGACCCCTGCGCTCAGCACCACTCTTTACACCGCTCAAAAGTTTAGCACACTTTGTTCCAAACAGCTTACGGAAATCTGCTCTGGACTGATTAGCAGGTGAGAAGTCGCCGGTCAGCCCTCCAGAGCAGAAATTCAGCACCTTTAGCTGGCTCCTCTCTCCTCCCCCAGAACCCTCGCGGTTCACATTGTGAAGGGTGGCGCCCGCCCTGCGCCCTGCCCCCTTCCATCCCATCGCCTTTCTCCACGAAGCATCCTTCTGCATGGCTACGGAGATGGCTTAAATTCTAAAGTACGCCGGAAACAGTGATGGGTGGCCTAGCCCAGCTGTATGGGCCTTTCCCCAGCAAGTCTTTGGTGGCAGAGTCCCACAGCCGCAAACTTCAGAGCAGAGCAACCACAGAGCCTCACTACTCCAGTCTACAGAAAACTAAGCCAGAAAGGCTGTAAATTTCAGGTTTTATAGTTGGAAACTGTTTCTAAGCTCACGCCGAGGTGACACTCCATCCAGGGGGGACTTGGGTAGTAGCAGTGCCCAGTTGTTTTCACAGCCGGCCTACTCAATCACCCTTTCTTAAAAGCAGTACTGGTTTTTGAAAAACTGGCAGGTGAGAAAGTCCTGGTACCCGGGTCTCACCCTGAACTCCTCAGCATCGATTCAGAAGAGGATGGAGTGGAAGGGAGCGGTGCTGAAAATGAGCTGGGCTGTCCCAAGAGAACTCCGGCGCTGGAAAACAGATCTGGCACCAGGTAGGCTCTGGTCCAGAGGAAGGAGTCGGGACAGCCAGGAAGCCTGAAGCATATGCCGGAGCACGAGGAGAAAAGTGCAAGATTCCTGAACTGTCACCGGAGGAAAAGAGGTAAAGGGGGTGCGGAGGCAGACATCCCAGGGAAGAAGGGCTGGGGCTCAGTCCCGGGAGGAGTGCGCGGCAGGCAGAGCAGTGCCCGGGATGAGGGCATGCAGCCAGGCTGCGCGGCGCGGGCGAGGCCGGCTGCAAAGTTGGCGGGCCCGGGGCACCTTACCTTCTGGTCCACGATGGAGCAAGCCATCTCGCGGACGTGCGCCAGGCTGTAGTCGCCGGACGAGTCCTGCAGGAGCAGCACTGGCTCGCGGCTCAGGCCGATCTGCAGATGGAACGAGATGCCCCCCGCCGGGGCCGCCCCGGGCGCCGGGAAGGGCGCGGGCCCGGAGCCCGGGACCAGCGCGGCGGCGGCGGCCACG